CTCAGCCTCCTAAAGGCGCGGGATTATAGGCTGAGCCACCGAGCCTGGCTGGATATTAAAAATTTTAAGTATGAAATCAGAATAGCTAAATTTTTTTTACAACCAATTGTTAACGGTGTCTATTTCTAGATGGTTAGATTATCATTTATTTTCATTTTCTTTATATTTCTGTATTTTCCAAATTACTTTTTTTTTTTTTTTTGAGTTGGAGTCTCACTCCTTCGCCCAGGCTGGAGTGCAGTGGCATGCTCATGGCCACCCCAGGGTCAACCTGCTGGGCTCCAGTGATCCTTCTGCCTCAGCCTTCCAAGTAGCCAGAACTACAGGCGCACACTACCATGCCCGGCTAATTTTTGATTTTATTGTAGAGATGAGGTCTCGCAGTGCCCAGGCAGGTCTCGAACCCGCGGGCTCAGGCAATCCACTCACAGCCTCCCAAAGGCATGGGATTACAGGCTGAGCCACCGAGCCCGGCAGCTAATTTTTGATTTATTGTAGAGATATGGTCTCACCAAGTTGCCCAGGTGGGTCTCGAACCCGCGGGCTCAGGCAATCCACTCACCTCAGCCTCCCAAGGCACAGGATTACAGGCTGAGCCACCGAGCCCGGCTAGAATTTTATTTTATTTTATTTTATTTTTTTGAGTTGGAGTCTCACTCCTTCGCCCAGGCTGGAGTACAGTGGTATGCTCACGGCCACTCCAGCATCGACCTGCTGGGCTCAGGTGATCCATCTGCCTCAGCCTTCCAAGTAGCCCAAATTACAGGCAGGCGGTACCAAGCCTGGCTAATTTTTTATTTTTTAAAAATTTATTGTAGAGACGAAGTCTCGCCATGTTGCCTGGGCTGGTCTTGAACCTGCAGGCTCAGGCAGTTCACTTGCCTTGGCCTCCCAAAGTGCTGGGATTACAGGCTGAGCCACTGAGCCTGGCCACATACAGAATTTTTTTTAAAGCAATCTATGGGATCAGACTGCAGGTACTGTTTAATTCCCCTTCTAAAATTCTCTACACCATCATTAAAAACTTAAACACTTGTTTTTTTTGAGTTGGGAGTCTCACTCTGTCGTCCAGACTGGAGTTCAGTTGCAAGCTCACGGCCACGGCAGCCTTGACCTGCTAGGCTCAGGCGATCCTTTCGCCTCAGCCTTTCAAGTAGCTGGAACTATAGGCACACGCCACCACGCCCAGCTAATTTTCTTTTTTTTTGATTTATTGTAGTGATGAGGTCTCGCCAAGTTGCTCAGGCTGGTCTCGAACCCATGAGCTCAGGGAATCCTCTCAACTCAGCCTCCCAAAGTGCTGAGATTATAGGCATGAGCCACCACCACGTCCGGCCAAATAACCTTAAACACTTTCATTAAAAATGCTCAGGAAATATCCCATCTCATGTGTTTTTCTTCCCTCACCAAATTTCAGACAGATGGTTACTAGTCTTTCCTTTTCAAAATCAGTATGTACTTCATTGCTTAAAAAAATAGCTATTACATATACAACTCTTTAAAAGTAGCATTATAACACTAGATTTAAGTATTCTTCAGAAGACTAAAATAAATGACATCCTAAACTTTTTACATGAAATTGGGAGTACATTTAAGAAGCAATAAAATTATATGTTTCTAAGTTTAAAACCAATAAATTAGC